GAGCGAAACTCCATCTCAAAACAAAACAAAGCAAAACAAAAAGTCAGGAATCAACAGATGCTGGAGAGGATGTGGAGAAATAGGAATGCTTTTACACTGTTGGTGGGAGTGTAAATTAGTTCAACCATTGTGGAAGACAGTGTGGCAATTCCTCAAGGATCTAGAACTAGAAATACCATTTGACCCAGTGATCCCATTACTGGGTATATACCCAAAAGATTATAAATCTTTCTACTATACAGACATATGCACATGTATGTTTATTGCAGCACTATTCACAATAGCAAATACTTGGAACCAACCCAAATGCCCATCAGTGATAGACTGGATAAAGAAAATGTGACACATATACACCATGGAATACTATGCAGCCATAAAAAAAGGATGAGTTCCTGTCCTTTGCAGAAACGTGGATGAAACTGGAAACCATCATTCTCAGCAAACTAACACAGGAACAGAAAACCAAACACCACATGTTCTCATAAGTGGGAGTTGAACAATGAGAACACATGGACAAGGGAGAGGGACATCACACACCGGGGCCTGTCGTGGGGTGGGGAGCTGGGGGAGGGATAGCATTAGGAGAAATACCTAATGCAGATGACGGGTTGATGGGTACAGCAAACCACCATGACACTTATATACTTATGTAACAACCCTGCACATGTATCCCAGAACTTAAAGTATAATAATAAAAATTAAAGATTTAATACAATTTAAAAAAACAGAGACTTGGTAATTTATAAAGAAAAGAGGTTTAATTGGCTCATGGTTCTACAGGTTCTACGGGATGCACAGCTCTGGCGTCACCTTCTGGGGAGGCCTCAGGAAGCTAAAAATCATGGTGGAAGGCAAAGCGGGAGCAGGCACTTCACAGGATGAAAGCAGGAGCAAGAGAGAGTGGCGGGGAGGGGCCACACATTTTTAAATGGCCAGATCTTGCAAGAACTCTCTCACTATTGCAAAGAGAGCACCAAGCCATGGGGGATCCCACCATGGCCCAAACACCTCCCGCCAGGCCCCATCTGCAGCACTGAGGATTATAATTCGACATAAGATTTGAGTGTGGACAAATATCCAAATTATATCAGAAATACAGGCTCCCCATCCAGGCTTGATGGGTGGGGAGGGAGTGGGGCCACAGGTTTTTCTGCAGTATTTAGCCAGAGTAACATAGTTATTGTCTAAAAACTTTTTGTCTTGCTAGGCTGCCCCTTTCCTGATCTTTTGGCTAAAGAGCAGGCTTTTGTTGCAGCTTTTTCCAGCTGTAACCATTGGCATTCCTATGTATGTTACTAGCTTCTTTAGCTACAAGTCTGGGAGAAATTAGGAAAAAAGAAAAGTCAGAGAATTCACCACCAGGTCATTCCTTGTGCCCCAAAGTCCCTAGATGTGCTGTCTTCTGCTATTCATGTTTTGGAGTCTTCTGGTATTTGTTTTATATACAATGTTCAGGGTTTATAGTTAGTTTTACTAAGCAGGAAGAATAGAGAAAAAGGATATCTATTTCATCTTCCCTGAGGCAAACATAAGCATAAGTTTTATGACATAACTTTTTTGTAGACTGTATATTATTTGCTTATAGGAGACTTGGACTATGAATTCTCTCTTATCTAGGTCACGTTAAGCCATTTTCCTTTTGAGCTGTATGATCAGAAACAACTATGCATGACAGAAGCAAGGACCACCTGGATACTTCATCCTCCAGTTAACATCTAGAAAGTGGTCTGTGAATCCCAGCCTTGTGTAATTAGAATGTATCTTTGTGACTGATGCTATTGAATGTCTTAGCAAAACAAACAAACATTCATAACATTTCTACTTCTCCTGCCAAGGTATATGCATACTTTTTAGGTCAGTGTTTCTCGATTGGATAAAAGAGGATGGCACAATTTTGCTCCCGCCTCAAGGGCTCATCTGGCAACATCTGGAGACATTTTTTATTGTTATGACTTGGGAGATGCTGCTAGTATCTAGTGTGCAGAAGCCATGGATCCCTTGAAATATCCTACAATTCACAGGACAGCCAGCCTCAATGAAAAATTAAGTGACCCAAAATGTCAAGAGTGCCAATGTTGAGAAATCCTGGTTTAGATGTCTGACATCTGACAGCTAAGTTTAACCCTCCGTATTCTTTGCAACTCCAGGCCCATGTAACTATGGACCTCTAAGTGCTGCGTGTGGGATGTCCTTTAACAAGTTCTCAACAAAGACAGTCCAGCCTGCCAAGATCATCTTACCTCTCAGCTTCCCTCTAGGGATTGCTATGTGGCTGCAAGTTATGATTTCTAAAGGGAAGAACCATGTTCCTTGTTTTTCCTGGAAAGAACATCATTAACATAAGCCCCAAACGTTTAAAACAAACATTCTTATTCTAATCTTAAGAATTTTTTCAAATCATAATTTGGATACCACTTTTACACTTGCATACTTACATTTTTTTTTTTTTTACAAAGTCTCACTGTTGTCTCCCAGGCTGGAGTGCAATGGCACGATCTTGGCTTACTGCAACCTCCACCTCCCAGGTTCATGCGATTCTCCTGCCTCAGCCTCCCAAGTAGCTGGGATTACAGGCACCTGCCACCGCGCCCAGCTAATTTTTTCATTTTTAGTAGAGATGAGGTTTCACCATGTTGGGCAGGCTGGTCTTGAACTCCTGACCTCAGGTGATCCACCCACCTCAGCCTCCCAAAGCTCTGGGATTACAGGCGTGAGCCACCACGCCGGGCCCATACTTGCATTCTTATTACTGTCTCTCACCTACCACCCATTGCCATTGCAACAAATTCCCCATTGTACATTTTTCACCCTAATAAAACTTCCGAAGCCACTTTTACTTTAAGAAATGCAAGTTCTATCTTCTGGAATTGTTGTGGGGTGGGGGTGTCAAAATTTTAAAAGCCAAGAACAAAATCCAGGCTGCACTCAAAAAATCAAGATAATGAGAGGCAGGGATGGGACTGAGATACCTGATACTGTCCAAGATACACTTTATTCTAATGCTCCATGATCCATGCCACTCTCCTACATAAAACAATACGTAGGATAAATGCCATAAAAAGAATACACAAGGGGGGCCAGGCACAGTGGCTCACGCCTGTAATCCCAGCACTTTGGGAGGCCGAGGTGGGCAGATCACAAGGTCAGGAGATCGAGACCATCCTGGCTAACACAGTGAAACCCTGTCTCTACTAAAAATACAAAAAAATTAGCCAGCCGTAGTGGCAGGTGCCTGCAGTCCCAGCTTCTCGGGAGGCTGAGGCAGGAGAATGGTGTGAACCCGGGAGGTGGAGGTTGCAGCGAGCGGAGACCGTGTCACTTCACTCCAGCCTGGGCGACAGAGCACAACTCTGTCAAAAAAAAAAAAAAAAAAAAAAAGAATACACAAGAGGAATTAACACTTCTGGTAGAAGAGCCGAATACACTGCAATGTTCATTATTCATTTAATAGTCTCTCTTCATATATCCCTAAGTCCATTTGAGCCCGCCAAAATACAATCTTTCTTATGGGACACTGCTCTGAGGTATAACTTTCCTCAACCGTACGGGACCTCTGGGCCAGTTTCTAATACCATCCCCTCTTCATGTCAAGTACCTTAACTACGTCATAGAGCATGGGGCCTATGTCAGAAGAAGGGGCGCCGAGGCCTCTCCTCTCTTTGCTAAGGCTCTTCATTGGGCATCCCTGATTTCTTATTAGATTCACAGAAAATCTAACTAGAAATACCCATTTTTAAATGGCCTGAGCAGCCACCCTGATCTTGTTCAGTAACAATGGGGAGGTGTGAGTCTCAACTCAGAACATTTGTCATACTCTGCCCACAAACATTAGGCCAAAGGCAACACCAGAGACTCTTGCTCATACCTGTTTTTGCTTCCCTTTATGGTCACATTCCTTAAATCACAGCCAAGAGTGTATTCTGGGGCTGAAACAATTTTAAAGACATAATGCAGTAGCAGTATTCTGTGTACTAATAAGATATTTGTAGCTGCAGCCAAGAACAGTAATAGAATCTTTTTGCTTCTGTCATTCTCAAAAAGACTGTGTCTCATATTTTTCTTTCTTTCTTTCTTTGGGTTTGGGGGTCAAGTTCCCTTGTTACTACTTTTGCTGTCAATGTCCCTGCCACAGCAAAGTCTGTATAATGGACAACATACCTTAAACTTAAATATGACCCTATCTAGCTTAGCTTCCTACCCAGGACAAGTCATAATGAATCAGTGGGCTGTCCCGGGCATGGTTCCAGCTCAGTGTCTCGGATGAGACTGCCTGGGGTGGAATCCCAGCTCTGCCATGCATTAGCTCCAGAACACTGTGCCAATCTTTTTTAACTTCACTAAAGCTAGAAGGCCCCCATGTCAGACAGGACTTTTATTAGTATCTGTTGACCTGATAGGGTTGTCATGGGGACAAAAATGCATGTATAGTGTGTCCCATAGAGTTTGGCACACAAGACGCACTTACAAATCTCTATGATTGGGAAGACCTAGAAAATATTTTTTAAAATGTTTCAAGAGAATGATTTTCACTGAAAGTACAGAATTCTTATAAATTGTAATATGCTGATCTTCTTAGAATATAAATGCACTTTTACTTTAATTTACTACTGCTAATATTAAACTGTAACAGAAAAAAAGAGTTTTTCACATAAAATGCCTGTTCCTTTAATAGTAAATAATCACAAAACCTTTGAAGGGTAAGGCTACTAGTGACGTATTACTGAAGTCTTCAGCTAATGTTCTCTGAATCAGTTTTTGGGATCATCGCTCAGTTTCCTTCGCTTTGAAAAGAGGATACACTCCCTACACAGAAAATTCAAAAATTCAAATGGAAAATTCAAACAAAATGCAAAGAAGTTGAATAACGCCGCAGTGTTTTTGTGTTATAATACATGACACCCTGTGCACCGAAATAGCATCCATAATAAACTACGCTTACATATGCAATGTACCTCAAATTGCATTTGGGAGAAACATTACTCTGGTTTTGGTTCACCTACTTCCATTCTAATATCGTAGTTCTGGCCAAGGATGCTCCGTATGAGCTCTTTGATGGTCTGGTCGGAGGCCAGCTGGGCCTCGGACTGCAGCGAGGCGATGATCTCTTCGATGGACGTGGGGATCACGCGGGCGGGCAGCAGCGCCTGCCAGGCGGCCTCCCGCGCGTCGCTGGGCGGCAAGCTCTCCTGTTCTCCCTGGGCTCCTAACCCCGCCGCTTCCCGCGCCTCGCGGGCCCGGCTCTCGCTCATGAAGTGGGTGCGGATCCTCACTTTCCTCCGCCCGCTGCTGACATCCGTGTAACCGTCCTCTGTGGAGATGGAGCTGACCTTCCTCTCTTTGGCCATGCAGGGCCCTGAGAGAGGAGCTACCTCCTGGCCCTCCTCGCGCTCCCTGCCCAGGTCAAGGACCGGCCTGGGGGCCGCGTGCCGCGAGCTCCCCAATACCCTGCACGCTCTGCGCTTCACGGGCGGCTCGGGCGGTGGCAGCAGGACCACGGGTCTGGCCGTGCCGAACCCCGAGGCGATGACTGGCGGCTTTTTCAGGGTATGATGCCGTAGGAACGCGGAGCTCCGCAAGTAAAAGTCCCGGGGGCGAAACGACAAGGTCTTGCCTGGAGCCGCCGCCTCACCCAGGCCCGAGGGCCGCGGCGCGACTCCGAGCACCTCCTGCAGGAGGGCGGCCGCGGACATTGCAGGGCCTTTAGCCGAAGGGGACCCTCTCGACGTCCGGGCTGCGGCGCAGGAAACGCGCTCGGGGCGGGCCGCGCCGGGGGCATAGAGGCTGTGGACTGGCCTTTCATCTACAGCCGGCTTGGAGGCCAACTTCTGCTTGAATCGGAGAAAATCCTTTTTAGTTTCCTGCCGAACCTTCTCAAGCTCTTTAAACATATAGGATTCCTCTTTGTATTTCAGGCCAAAGTGCCTCGGGATCGTGGACATCTTGATAAATTTGACCTGTAAAGTAAGCCCCAAAACAATCATATGTGTGGTGTGCGTATATACATAAATACAAAACAAAACTGGAATAAAATTCTAGCTCAGCAAATCTTCTCATAATAGAACCTCACTGTGCTCCCTGAGGCACAAGTGGGTAATATTATCATGTAATTTTATGTCCACCTATTGGCCATGGTTCTTTTCACAAGAACCATGAAAAACCTCTAAAGCAGTCATTTTTTTCGGTGGAAGTTTCCCAAACCTCTATTGGATTTCTTTTAACATTTCTTTAAACTCTAATGTAATGTTTCACTTCCAGGCAAGTAGTATCGTACTAAGCATAGCTTAGAAAATCCCCAGGACCCCTGCTACAACAGAATGAAGGCCACAAACTGTGGCCTGAGGCCTGGATCATTCAGCCCGTATTGTTCAGAGTATTTCAACAATTTTTTCTTTTTTTGAGACAAGATCTCGTTCTGTTGCCCAAGTGGCTGGAGAGCAATGGCATGATCATGGCTTAGTGCAGTCTCTGCCTCCTGGGCTCAAGCGATCCTCCCACCTCAGCCTCCTGAGTAGCTGTGATCAAATGTGGTACACCACATCCAGCTAATACTTTGTTTGTAGAGATTCCGTCTCTTTGTGTTTCCCAGGCTGGTCTCTAACTCCTGGGCTCACGCCATCCTCCCACCTCAGCCTTCCAAAGTGTTGAAATTACAGGCGTGAGCAACCATGTCTGGCTTACTTCCACAATCTTAATTCATAGCCAACTATTTTAAATTGGAAGATTTTCATATACCAATTCAGATTTGCAGTTTCTCAGAAAAAAAGAAAAATGAAGGGTCTGTCAGTGCAAGGGCCAAATCCCAGCTCCTGTGGCTAGACAGCTGTTTCCCCTTCCCTCTCCAACTGGTCCCAGGTGTCCCCTTCCTTACCCAGCTCACTCCCTCAAAGTGTCATCTAAGCCACAGCAACATGTAGGAAGGGAATGCGAGAAACCTCAGGATGGGCTGCAGCTAGATTATGAGGCCTTCAGTGCCACTCTCTGTACTTTTTCTGTGAGCTACTGGAAACCACTCTAAATTTTTAGCAGAAAAGTAACGATATATTGAGTAGAAAACGGAATAAAGCCTGGAAGGACAAGTAAGAATCTGGTAGCTGGAGCCTGAGTCTGGCCTTGATAATGAAGCAGAGTAAAAATAGAGACAAAGCTAGGTAAAACTGACAGGACCTGGCCAATGATTAGGAATAAATGGGAGCAATGAAAACTCCTTCAAAAAATAGGGACTTTGAGTCAGCCTAATGACGTCTTAGTCATAATAAAACTTCTGTTATTCACTGAACTGTACACTTGAAAATGTTTAAGAGGACAAATTTTGTTATGTGTATTTTAACTACAATTTTTAAAAATTCTGTTATTCAGCAGGGCCAGCTAGCTATGATCATAAGTACATTTTGAGATCTTAAAAGATCATTACCCAAAGCCAGGCTAGCAGTAAATATAAATAGGGGACCAATGGCAGGTTCTGTGGCATACTTACCTGTGTGAGGTGGCAGGGGCAAGAGCAATCAGAGAGTTAGAAAAATGAAGAGGACAGTGTTCCACAGAACACACCAAGAGGAGCATTTCAAGAAATCAGGGTAAAACAATGAAAGTAAAACAAAATACAATGAACTAGAAGAATAATAAGTCTTTAGAGAACACTCAAGGTCAAGTTTCTTTGAAAATAAATAAAACAGTAAGGCAGAAACACCTCTGGAATGTCATCATTATTTCCAGATATGATTATCTACTGAAAACACCGACACTAGAACTCTAATAGGATTCTGCAAGGCATTTGAATGTAAAATATATATAATATATATTTAATGTATAGTATTATTAATTTATATATAAATATATATTATAATATGTAATATATATTTATATATAAATATATAATAATATATAATATATAAATTATACATAATATATATTTTATATATTATATATTATATGTAATATGTAATATATATTAGCTGGTTATTTTGCTCGCTAGTTGATGCAGTTTCTTCCTAGCATCGATGAACTTTACATTTTGACATGTTTTTGCAATGGCTGGTACCTGTTGTTCCTTTCCATGTTTAGTGCTTCCTTCAAAATCTCTTGTAGGGCAGGCCTGGTGGTGACAAAATCTCTAAGCATTTGCTTGTCTGTAAATAATTTTATTTCTCCTTCACTATAAAACTTAGTTTGGCTGGATACAAAATTCTGGGTTGAAAATTCTTTTCTTTAAGAATGTTGAATATTGGCCCCCACTCTCTTCTGGCTTGGAGAGTTTCTGCCGAGAGATCTGCTGTTAGTCTCATGGGTTTCCCTTTGTGTGTAACCTGACCTTTCTCTCTGGCTGCCCTTAACATTTTTTCCTTGGTTTCAACTTTGGTGAATTTGACAATTATGTGTCTTGGAGTTGCTCTTCTCAAAGAGTATCTTTGTGGCATTCTCTGTATTTCCTCAATTTGAATGTTAGCCTGCCTTACTAGGTTGGGGAAGTTCTCCTGGATGATATCCTAGAGAACTTCCATCCTTATATCCTTATATCCTTATATTATATATAATATATATTATATATTTTAAATTCAAATCCCTTGCAGAATATAGTTATATATAATTTATATATAATATATTATTTATATATAATAATTTTATTATATATTTATATATTATATAGTTAATATATTATAATTAATATATTTATATATTATAATTTATATATTTATATATAATTTATATATTTTTATATTTTTATATATTATATTATATATTATATATAATTTTTATATATTATATATTATATATTTTTATATAATTTTATATATAATATATTATGTATAATTTATATGTATTTACATATTATATATTATATATAATTTACATATATTATATATTATATATTTTTATATAATATATTACATATAATTTATACTATATTATATTATATGTAATTGATATTATATATTATATATAATTTATGTATAATATATATTAGATATAATTTACATATTTATATAATACCTTATATATATTTTATATATATCCCCCAATAATTTCTTTATACCAAAATGGTCTCATCAAAAACATAATGGACTTTAGCCTGGGCAACAGATGTAAAACAATGTTTTTACTATAATGGTAAAATTTCATTTGTAGTATTTTTAAAGTAAGTATCTGGGCATAAACCTAACAAAAACATGTACTGAAACTACATGATTAAAATTTTTAAATTTTACTGAAGGATATTGAAGAAAGATTGAACTAAATAGGAAGTTAATGTTCCTTGATGGAAAGACCAAATATTTTAATTATATCAGGCCTTACCAAAATACTGTATTGGTTTCATGCCAATGCAAAACTCTGAAAATGATATTTTGAACTTTGAAAGGTAATTCTGGATTCATTTGAAATAATAAACAGGCTGGATTAGCCAAAAAAAAGAAAGGAAAACAGAAATGAGGCAGCACTTCTTGCTCAATGAAGAGCAACCAGATAAAAGATTTACAGATACAATAATTAGAATTGAAAACCTCCTGCTAAAATCAATAAGTACACTGAGAAAGTGAGAAAAAGGATGAAATATTAGTTATAAAGGCAGCATTAAATTGATGATAAAAGAATTTTTCAATAAATTGTGCTGAGACTACTACACAGCTATTTGGTGCAATTTTTTGGTGTATTTCATGACAGGTACCCAAATAAATCCATATGGACTTAAAACTTAAAGGAAAACATATTTTTATTTTACTTTGCATTTTTATCACTTATCTACATTTCTTAGTTGGACTCATATCAATTCATGAAATAATTATCTTTACAATTGTAATTATTCATTTATCATGATGTTTGATAGTATGAAGAAAATCTCCTGTTTATCCTCCAAATATAGTCTTATTGCTTTTAATTGAAGACCCCGCTACATGAAGAGCTCATCATATCTGGGAATCAATAGGCTTTCTTTCTTTACCTAGCTCCACCACTGACTAGACCTTGGGCAATTCAATTCTATCCATATGAAGGGTTCATGTTAAATAGTGAAAATTATCTGTTGCCAGTTTTCCAGACCATAGGATATGAACAATAGAAATTATTTCTAAAGCCCTTAAGAAAGTTTCCCTACTTTAAAAAATGCTGTATAATCGCACCCCCTCCCCCAGTATTTTGACTGTTATTGTTTGCACAGGTGGCAATATGTTCATATCAACACTATCTGCATTTCTTCCTGCAAAAGGTTGAAAGGTAGTAACTGGAACAGAGCACAGACCAGAAGTACATTAGTACCTGATGAGAATCTGACTTGACTCTCCCACTCACACTTCCCTTTTATTTCTTAGTTCCTGCTTTCTCACTTCTCCCAGGCCTTTTGTTTGCTATTGAAGTTTAACAACTGTTCATTGTTTAACACTTCTTAGTACATTCCCATGAGTTCTTAACAGGAAAGTTGCTCTTTCTATCTAAAATTAAACCAACAGGAAATAGAACTTCTAAATTCAACAGGAACTTCCATTGTGCATTCAAGATGAGTGGTATACCAGTGCTTCATGGGCCAGTCCATCAAAGCTAAGTGCCTTTATTCCCCTACCCACTCCTACAACACAAAATACATAAAATGACTTTTAAACATTCATTCTCGTGAGAAAATAGCATGTTCTGTTTTTCAAAGGAGCAATTTACTAAGAGAAACTAGTTCTAGCTTGGAGATACCAAGGGAAAAATAATGTAGTTGTCTCTGAAGGAGAAAGTATTCATCTACATGATGTGTCAAATAGGCAGCTCACAAACCAGGCTGATTATGTTTACCCTACCCTTTAAAATGGGACAATGCTCTTAAAAATCTGTCTATGCCTTTTCCTTTCTCTTCTGCCAGGAGGTTCAAGGCCTGAGCAGTGAAGTAGTCAGAAGCGTCAAGAGCCAGCCTTTTCTTCTCTCTCACAAGGCCGGGTCAGCCATCAGAAGAAAGTTCTCCAGCCAAAAATGGCTAAAGACT